GTTTAGCGTTGCTCGAAGAAACTTCGAATAACTGACGATCAGGGCATCCGGAGTCTAGAATTGTCCTCCAGTGAACGGCTGAATTCGACCTGTGTTGTTAGTGTCGAAAATCCTGCCACCGTCGGAACTCGAACCCTAGGACCTCCAGCTCAGAAGCACTGTAGTGACATCAGTTGATGTTCTGAACCACCTCAGCTGACACCGGACAACTGAATCCCACGAACGTTATAAATATTAATGACTTGTTATTGTAAAGTGTAAAACCTTTGTAGGGCCACAGGGCCAATCAAAAATAAAAATGATTTTTAAAAAAAATGTTAAAATTTTTATTTTGGGAAATTAAATATTTGTGCTCTTTGCTTGGTGAAGTTAACATTAAAATCACCGCTAAATACTATACATGGTATTTGATTGCACAGTGGCGCTCCCCGACGCAGGCGGCCAACGCCGGAACTAACACGTGAATGTTTACTAGTTAATTTCCGGCGCGTTTGAAGTTTCTCGAGTTTCTGTTTTCAACATTGTATCTGTCTTGCTAAGATAATTACAAAATGACTTGAACGTTTTTCGCCTCCGAGACGAAATTTGGAAAATATCCCGTAACCGCTACACTTTTTGTTACGCTCCTAAGGCTTAATATGTTGACTAACTTTATCGCTCCTAAAGCTTAATATGTTGACTATCTTTATCGCGAGAAGAAAATGTTTTCTTTCCTACGGCTTTTTTTTGTCGGTCGATAGCCATTTACCCTTTACGTCCCGATGGGACGCATATTTGTCCATACACTAGACACCAACACACTTGCGGGCCCCTCTGCTCGAGGGTCAGCAGGGACCTTCGCGATTACACATATTCGTATATGAGAGACATGGCACAAACAACTTTGCGCAAAGCGGAACTCGAACCCGCAACCCTTCGGACCGAAGCACTGACTCGGTATACGCTCTTAGACACCTCAGCCATCCAGGTCGGGGAGGAGAAAGCTTTACATCAAAAGCTCCTACTTAACCCACTCCACTTAGACCTTAGAACTCCACTTAGACCTAACGATACAATTAAGAATTATTACATTGAATTACAAGACTGCTGTGTCCTCCAACACACACACACACACAGACACACACACACACAGAGTGAGAGTGAGAGTGAGAGTGAGAGAGAGTGAGAGTGAGAGAGAGTGAGAGTGAGAGAGAGTGAGAGAGAGTGAGAGAGAGTGAGAGTGAGAGAGTGAGAGAGAGTGAGAGTGAGAGTGAGAGAGAGTGAGAGTGAGAGTGAGAGAGAGTGAGAGAGAGAGTGAGTGAGTGAGTGAGAGAGAGTGAGTGAGAGAGAGTGAGTGAGTGAGAGAGAGTGAGTGAATGAGTGAGAGTGAGTGAGTGAGAGAGAGTGAGTGAGAGAGAGTGAGAGAGAGAGAGTGAGAGAGAGTGAGAGAGAGTGAGAGAGAGTGAGAGA